GTGTGTACCGCTCCTGCATGTGCCGAGAGTGTCTGCGGCAGGCCCGCCGCGACCGGCCGGGCGAGGTCATCTGCCCCTACAGCCACATGCCGGGTCACCTCCACTGGCACCAGATCCTGATGAACCTCCTGCAGCGGCATCCTGCGCAGCTACAAGCCCATCCGCTCCCGGGCCACCGTGAAGGGCTCCTGCCGCTGCCGGAGTTCTCCCGCCACATGCAGCGTGTGCATCAAGGCCTGTGGCGCCTCGATGTCGGGCAGTGGCAATGGCTGGCGAACCCAGAGGACTACGGCCTGGAGGACCTGCTGCGGGTCGGGAGCCTGGCCGGTGCAAACTTCCCCTGTATCCTCCCCTCTCTTCGCCAGTTCGTCGCCCATGGCGCTGCCCTAGTGTCCCATGGAGGGGCGGTGCGCCCTCTCTTCCGCGTGATCGACGAGAACGCCGAGGGGAACAACTGCCTGCTTCGAGCTGTCCTCCGCCAGCTTGAAGCTCATCGTCGTCGGCGCGCAGCAGACGGTCTGCCCCCCGCGGACCGCCTCGGCGACGCGCTGCCGTCCCCTGCCGCCGTTCGCCGGCACCTCGTGGATGACCTTCGGCGTCGCAGCGGTGCGGGTGAATTTGCCGCCGTCCAGCCTCAGGGGATCGGCACCGAGGCCTACATTGAAGGCATCCGGCTTGGAAGAGGCCTGAGCGAGATCGAGGTGCAGTCGGTGGCCAACGTTGTCGGGGCGACCATCGTGGTTTGCCGGGTATACGAGAGTATGTCTTTAGAGACGACCGCCCCCCTCCCCGTGGCAATCGGGCTGTTCGTCGACCCAGAGCAACAATTTCGAGTCGCCGGCAGCCCTGCCATCCATGTGCTCTACATGCCCGGCCACTTTGCCGTCATGCTGCCTGCTGACCGGCCGCACGACGACTGGGTGGAGGCAAACGATGCCGGCGACTCGAGCAACGCCCAGGCAGATGGAGGCCCCGCCTCGCCGATCGTGATCCATGACGACCCCCCAGGCGCCCCAGCCGCCCCTCCCCTGCCCGCCCCGCTGCCCTCACGCGATGACGAGAACGGGCGGGCCGACGCGCACAGCGAGGAAGTCCCGATGGACGTCGACGACCTGGAGGCGGAGTCGGCGGCTTTGGCAGCGGACCTGGCACTGGCGGCGCGTATCGACGGTGAGGGGCCAGGACCCGAGCAACGCCAAGACCGCCGTCGCCAACGGCAACGTGCTGTGGCGGCCTATCGTCGCCGCCGGATCGACTCAGGAGCCCACCTGGCGATCATTTCCCCTTCGGCGAGCAGCAGGGGCGAATCCCCGCCAGCCAGGCCGCCACGCGTTGCCCCCCCGGCTCGCCCTCAACCGTCTCTGGATGAGCTCATTGCTGCTGAGGGAGCCCCACCAGGCCGGCTCGAGGTCCTGGCCGACATGACTTCTCGGGAGGGCTTCGACCCGTCAAACACGGCCCCTCCCCAGGGCCTCCACGACGCCAGGGATATCCTCGATGCATGGAACGACACGCCGAGCGGCTCGGCGGCCCCCGCGGCCAACGCGGGCGGCACGAGGGCCGCCATGGGCGAAGAGGAGGACACGCGTGTGGGTGGAGGTGATGTGGATGGCTCTAACGGACTCGACGAACCGAGCCGTACGGGCACTAGGAGGTGCCGCGACCGCTCGCTGCGGCGGTCTGCGCGGGATGTGCTGGCCGGGCGGTGTGGCAGCTGCGGGCAGTTCTGCCACGGCCGATGTGGTACTCATCGACGTCGATCTGGGCGGGCGATAGGAGACGGCCCTTGCCTGAGCTGCGGTGATTTTTGTCATGGGCGTTGCGGCGAGGAGGCGCGGCGAGAGCGTGAGACCGCGGAGCAACGACGACGTGAGGCCGAGGCGCGGCGACAACGTGAGACTGAGGCGCAGCGACAGCGTGAGACCGAGGAGCGGCAACAACGTGAGACCGAAGAACGGCGCAGACACGAGGCAGCGGACCAGCCGCGCAATGTGCAAGATGGCCTGCGGGCGGCAGGTGAGGCCGCCCAACGCGCCGGGGGTGCGGGCCGTCAACAATTGAGAGATCGACGCGGCAGTCGGCCGCCGTCAGGGGGAGGTCGGCAATCCCAGCAGTGGCGCCCTCGCCGCCCACTGGCAGGTAGACCGGGCCCGCCTGGTGGGCAGGGCCCTCCCGGTGGGCCTCCTGGAGGCCCTCCCCCTCCGCCCCCGCCCTCCACGAACTCTGTTAACGGCCACTGGCAGCGATCGCATTGGACCCTGCCGGCCTCAGGAGTGGAGATTTTGACCGGCC